CAGAGGCTGGATCTATACTGCCATATAACCCAGATTATCAAAGCAGTTAATCCACATTATCTGCTTTGACCTGGATTATATGAGCCTACACTGCCATATAATCCAGTTCAAAAGAGATAATCTGGATTTTATATGAGTGTTGAGGAAAGTAATGCCTCTACCTTTGTTACGTTAAAAAAAAAAAAAAAACAAAAAAAAAAAAAAAAAAGAAAAAAAAAAAAATTAAAATAAAAAAGAACCAAAAAAAAAATATAGAAAAAAAACATAAGAATTTTAAAAAAGATAAATAGAAAAAAAAATAAAAATAAAATAAAATAAAAAGAAAAGAAAAAGAAAAAAATCAAATAAAAAGGAATAAAAATATAAAGCTACACATATCCACCTTCGTTATTTTGGTTTGGATGGGAATATTTTAATAAATCAAACGCAGAAATAATCCTCACAATGTGCTCTTTGACTACCACTATTCACTATAATCAACGGACAATTGTATACATTTCTGCCAACAATGAATAAGTTTTCTGAAGCTGTCATGGAAGAAGTCGACACTCATCGTGCACAGATCTTCCGAAAGCCAAGCAAACAATTAATGTGACCCGCACATTTTTGTGAAATGCTGATTATGCTTGAAATTTCTCTCTGAGTAATATGATTGTCCTGAGTCAATCTGTCAACCTTTTGCTTGTGAAACTTGGTGGTTTGTGTCAGAAGACATCCAACTCTTTGTTTGTCACGTAAATCAGATGTTCCCACCTCAACATCTTTAAACTTACTCACCCAACGATGCACAGTACTCACATCAACACAATCCCCATAAACAACTTGCATTCTATGATGAATCTCTTTTGGGGTGACACCTTCTGCTGTCAAGAATTCAATGGCTGCACATTGCTTAAGTCGCATTGACCGACTGTCTGCGCAGGGTTCCATACTTTGCACCTTAACAACACAACCGTTCAATGCTAAGGCTTCCTGCCAGAATGGAACTGTAGAGGAGAGTCTACTGAACAAGCCAGTACCTGCCGCTTACAAGTACTGCTATCTATTGAGGAGTTACAAAGGTGGAAGCATTACTTTTCATTCAACCCTCGTTTATGGCTGTGTAGATGGGGCCCATAATAGTGATGTTTTTCTTTCCTTGGAGCATTAGTAAAATTATTCTGAGGGTGCATCTACACTGTAGAATTAATACAGTTTAACACCACTTTAACTGCTATAGCCCAATGCTATGGATTTGTAGTTTGGGGAGATATTTACCCTTCTCTGATAGAGAGCTCTGGTGCAGCAAGGAACTACAAATCCCAGGACTCCATAGGATGGGGCTATGGCAGTTGAAGTGGCGTCAAACTGCTATAATTCTGCAGTATGGATAGGTGGAGGGGAAAGAACATAAAAGTGGCTGGCATCTTGAAAGATGCCGCTCTGCATCACAACATTTTTTTGGCCATTCCCTTTTGTATGAATCATAAGGCTGAATCTAATCAACAGCCAGCCATTCTGGCTTTTGCTGGGGGCCAAGAATGATGTCTTGGAGTCCTTCCCAGGGAAGATATGATAGCCAGAAACATCCCTATTGATTACTCTCAGCATCAACTCCCCCCTTAATGAAAATGGAAGAATATACTGTTTCTCAAATAATTGCCGCTTGTCATCTCCATATATTGAATAAATCCTAGTTAAAAACACTGCATAGCAACTGCTTGGGATCTGCGGGTTTTCTTTCCATAGATTAGCCTTTCTCAGACCAGCAGACTTCCAAGGTTTGGGACTGTAACTCCTATCATCCCCTGCCTGTCTGCTGAGTTTGGATGATGAGATTGCAGCCCAAGATTTCTTTCTGGAAGGCGTGAGCTGGTGAAGGCTGCTCAGGATTTGTCATGACCTGTGTGCTAAACTTCTTCTCTGCGATTTAGCCCTGCTATTTATCCTTTTTTCTTCCTGTGAGAGTCTCTGAACAATAAAGGGATCAATAAGCCTTCGGTCTTACAGTTATCCTCGGAGAAAATCCTTCTGAATTCAATGGGGCTTTGCTTTATGCATCAGTTTTCATTGTCTGAGTCTGGGCAAACAGGCAAAGGCCAGGCCCTTCTGACCACATATTCCAAAGTTTCAGCGAAAAGGCTGCAATGTTTGCAGATGAGAACAGGAAGAACTACCGTGTATGTATAATAATTTTAGTTCTTACTTGCCTTTCCCCAAAGATATACAGCATACCAACCATAGGTAAAGGTAAAGGGTTCCCCTTGACATTAAGCCTAGTCATGTCCAACTCTGGGGGTGGGTGGGGGTGGCACTCATCTCCATTTCTAAGCCTTTCCCCAAAGCTCAAGATGTACAGCATACTGACCATAGGTAAAGATAAAGGTTTCCCCTTGATATTAAGCCTAGTCATGTCCAACTCTGGGGGGGGGGGGGGGGGGGGGGGGGGGGGGGTGGTGCTCATCTCCATTTTTAAGCCGAAGAGCCGGCGTTGTCCATAGATACCTCCAAGGTCATGTGACCGGCATGACTGCATGGGGCGCCGTTACCTCCCCACCGAAGTGGCACTTATCTACTCACGTTTGCATGTTTTCAAACTGCTCGTTTGGCAGAAGTTGGAGATAACAGTGGGAGCTCACCCCGTTCTGCGGATTCGAACTGCCAAGCTTTTGGTCAGCAAGTTCAGCAGCTCAACGCTTTAACCCACACCACACACACACTAGCTGTACCCGCCACGCATTGCTGTGGCCAACCTTCCCTCCCTCTTTCTCCTTCTTTCTTTCTCTCCTTCCTTCCTTCCTTCCTTCCTTCCTTCCTTCCTTCCTTCCTTCCTTCCTTCCTTCCTCCCTCCCTCCCTCCCTCCCTTTCTTTCTCTCCTTCCTTCTTTCCTTCTCTTTCTCTTCCCTTCCTTCCTTCCTTCCTTCCTTCCTTCCTTCCTTCCTTCTCTTCCTCTTCCCTTCCTTCCCCCCTTTTCTTTCCCTTCCTCTTTCTCCCCTTTCTTCCTTCTCTACCTATTCTTGGACTGCAGTCCTCCAGATCGATCTACCTACCTACCTATCTATCTCCATCTAATCTATCTATCTGGAGGATTGCTGGGAGTTGCAATCCAGGAATAGGAAATTGGAAATATGCAGGGATTGGGATGCTCTCAAAGAAATCCAAGGAGAAGAAAGCTTGCATCTTGGAAGCAGTGCATTTGGATCATCCTCCTCTCCTAAAGGGCCTGGTCTAGGAGATGCTGGGAGCTGTAGTCCAGAAGAGATATATTCTATTGTGTGGTTTGTTTGCCGGGGGAATCGTTTTTGCACATGTAGCATCTTTTTGCCTTTTTGGCTTTTTAAGTCCCCTCCGCTGTGTATTTTTAGTGTTTTTATTAGTGATGGTCTCTCATTGACCTGATAAGTGTATTGTGTCCAAATTTGGTGTCAATTCGTCCAGTGGTTTTTGAGTTATGTTAATCCCACAAATGAACATTACATTTTTATTTATATAGATTGTACACATTGTAGTAGAAAAAATATTGACCCCCAAATTGTATTTACAGTATTTATATTCCACCCTTCTCACCCTGAAGGGGACTCAGAGCAGACCACAGAACACATATACGGCAAACATTCAGTGTCGTTATACACTGACAACTGTAAATAGAGGTATATATAGGCTTTCCCATCTTCGGCATCTTGGAGACTGTGTTCGGTTCCAGCCACAGTGTGTGAGGGGATGCTGTAGCTCCATCTTCCCTGCCAAAGAACTTTGTTTGTAAACTTCCTCCTTGATTGAATCGCGGGTATTTTTCTGGCATTTCCTTATGGATGCCTTTAAAAAAATACTTCTCTACTTTAAAGCAGTACCTATTTATCTACTCACATTTGTTTTCAAACTGCTAGGTGGGCAGAAGCTTGGCTAAAGGCCAGGAGCTCACCCTGACCTGGGCTTTGAACTGTCAACCTTTCAATTGGCAAGATTTACTGCAGCTGGCAGTTAACCTGCTGCGCTAAAGCCCGGCCGTAGATCAGCTTATCCGTGGGTGGAAAAAGTGGTGGGATTTTAAAAAATTACAATTTGGAAAAGTTACTTTTAGACAACAATACCCTGAAGAATTCCCAGAATCCCACAAGTTTCATGGTGTTTGTGGGTTTTGGGAGATACAGTCTCCCGCAAAGTGAATTTTTCATGTTCTGAATAAAAATGAAACAGTTTAAACTGGCGTGGGAATCTGTTGGCGCGACTGAGCTGCTGAACTTGCTGACCGAAAGGTCGGCAGTTCGAATACAGGGAGCAGGGTGAGCTTCTGCCATTAGCCTTTACCTTTACATTTAAACTGAAGAGTATGTAATGACTCTGGGAGTCTCACAAGATGGGCAGGAAGGCAACATTTTCTTTGTCCATGACTAGGTTTTTTTTGGTTGTGTCAGGAGCGACCTGAGAAACTGCAAGTCGCTTCTGGTGTGAGAGAAGTGGCTGTCTGCAAGGACGTTGCTCAGGGGAAACCCGGATTATGTGATGTTTTAATCATCCTTGTGGGAGGATTCGCTCATGTCCCCGCATGAGGAGCTGGAGCTGACAGAGGGAGCTCATCCGCCTCTCCCCGGATTCGAACCTGCGACCTGTCGGTCTTCAGTCCTGCCGGCACAGGGGTTTAACCCACTGTGCCACTGGGGGCTCCATTCCATGACTAGTGTTTTGTAGCCAATAGCCTTGAAGTGTGGGCATTGCTTATAGCCAGCTTTCTATCCTCCAAGCCCCTAAACAAATGGCCATTTCAATCTTCTTGTGGCAATGAGTGCTACATATGAATTAGAATCCTAGAATCCCCAAGAGCCATCCAATCCAACTCCATTCTGCCATGCAGGAAGACACAATCAAAGCACACCCAACAGATGGCCACCCAGCCTTATGATCTGCATGAAAGTGCATTTGAAGAGCCTTCTGTCAAGAGAGAACCATAGGGTGCCAGGCATTTTGCTCCTTCCGTCTTGTTTCCCTCGGAGGCTGACCTCACTCTCTGCTCTCCCCCGCAGTGGCTGTGGACACTACTTTGCACGTGGAGTGGACCGAGGCGAAGCCCCTCTCTGCCCTCTCGCCCCTTGGCCGGACTCGGACCTCGCTGGTGCGCAGGCTGGTTCGCCAAAGCTCTCTGGACAGCCAGGACTTTCTCGAGGTGCCCGCTTTCAATTGCTCTGCTTTTAGGCCTTTGCAAAGAAAGCATTGCTCATTCTGCTTAAGGGATGCCGCTCTCTGATACACGCATAGATGGGGTTTATATGCAGTCCTGCATGGCACAAGGGGTGGAGGGAGAAAGGGCCATGCGAACGCATTAAGCTGCTTTATAATGAGTTAGACCACTGTTTCTCAACCTGGGGGTCGGAACCCCGGGGGGGGGGTCACGAGGGGGTTTCAGAGGAGTCACTGAAGACCATCAGAAAATACATATTTCTGATGGTCTTTGGAACCCCTTTGGCATAGTTGTTTGGGTTCACAGTGCTCTCCGGATCCCTAAATCACTGTCAATCCTGCCAGTATTCAAATTTGGGCATATTGGGTATTTGTGTCAAATTTGGTCCAACCAATATACCTTTTTTGATTGCCAGTGAAATCTTTTTTTTTTTTTACTCTTCTTTGTCTAGCTTAATGAATGAAATGTAGGATGACTGAAAATACATCCTACATATCAGGTATTTACATGACGATTCACGAGGGGAGTAAAATGACTGTTATGAAGTAGTAACGAAAATAATGTTATGGTTGGGGGTCACCACAACATGAAGAACTGTACTAAGGGGTCACGGCATTAGGAAGGTTGAGAACCACTGAGTTAGACCTTTGGGTACATCATGCATAGGCAAACTTGGGCTCTCCAGGTGTTTTGAACTTCAACTCCCACAATTCCTAACAGCCGGTAGGGCCTGAAGGGCCCAAGTTTGCCCATGCCTAATCTACATTGTAGAATAAGTGCAGTTTGTGTTTACTTTAGTTGCCATGGCTCAGCACTATGCAATCATGGGAGCTGTAGTTTGGTGAAGCACCAGCACTCTTTGGCAGAGAAGGCTAAATACCTACAACTATGGTTGATTGTACCGAGCCATGGCAGTTAAAGTGTTGTCAAACTACATTCATTCAAATATATATACAGCCTACATAGTGTAGTGGGCTAAATGTTGAAGTATGGGACATAGAATCATAGAATCAAAGAGTTGGAAGAGACCTCATGGGCCATCCAGTCCAACCCCATTCTGCCAAGAAGCAGGAATATTGCATTGAAATCACCCCTGACAGATGGCCATCCAGCCTCTGTTTAAAAGCTTCCAAAGAAGGAGCCTCCACCACACTCCGGGGCAGAGAGTTCCACTGCTGAACGGCTCTCACAGTCAGGAAGTTCTTCCTCATGTTCAGATGGAATCTCCTCTCTTGTAGTTTGAAGCCATTGTTCCGCGTCCTAGTCTCCAAGGAAGCAGAAAACAAGCTTGCTCCCTCCTCCCTGTGGCTTCCTCTCACATATTCATACATGGCTATCATATCCCCTCTCAGCCTTCTCTTCTTCAGGCTAAACATGCCCAGCTCCTTAAGCCGCTCCTCATAGGGCTTGTTCTCCAGACCCTTGATCATTTTAGTCGCCCTCCTCTGGACACATTCCAGCTTGTCAATATCTCTCTTGAATTGTGGTGCCCAGAATTGGACACAATATTCCAGGTGTGGTCTAACCAGAGCAGAATAGAGGGGTAGCATTACTTCCCTAAATCTAGACACTATGCTCCTATTGATGCAGGCCAAAATCCCACATGTTATGACAGTCCCCGCAAGGTCATCTGTGGTTAGTACTTGGATGGGAAACCACCAACAAATATGTTGTATTTCCTTGCTTGAGAAAACCCTATGAATGCACGGTGTCGCTGTTAATTGACAGGTGACTTGAATGCACATAGGCACACACATTGTTGCCAGGAAAACAAATTTTCTCCAAGGTTACTGTGAGAATCACGGCACAGCAACAATCAAATGGTGTCTTTGCTTAGACCCTGCAACATCGAGCGTGACTCATATGGTTGACTTTAAGGTCTTTTTATTCCCACAACGTGTGAGATCCACAGCTTGATAAAATCACCTTTTGGGCCATGGCTTCCCAAATGCCCCGGCCGGCACAGGTAGTGTCTATGCATTGTCATCAAGGCTTATACAATTTTCCTTCTTTTGTGGCTAAATTTCCTATAATTGTGTGGTGGCTATGCTGACTAGGGGTTTATGTAAGTTGCAAGCCTACCAAAGGTACTTTTCTCAGCAATCAACCGTTGGACAGACAGCTGAATCTCAGACATTTTCTGGATGCAAGAACTTACATTTTGGCATTCAAAAATGGAGAAAGATGGAAGCGATGGTCTTTCTTTTCTATTCTGAACACAAATATAACTTGTAAGTGGGCCTGATTTCATTGTTGAAAGCTTTCATGGCCAGAATCACTGGATTGCTGTGAGTTTTTTTTGCTCTATGGCCATGTTCCAGTAGCATTGTCTCCTGACATTTCACCTGCATCTGTGGCAAGCATCCTCAGAGGTTCTGTTGGCAGTGAAGCAAGTGATGTGTGTGCGCACACACACACACACACACACACACACACACATGACATGTGGGTGTATGTATATATGTGTGCGTGCATGTATGTATGTATGTATGTATGTATCTATCTATCTATCTATCTATCTATCTGTGGAATAATGTCCAGGGTGAGAGAAAGAATTCCTACCTGATTGAAGTAAGTGTGAATGTTGCAATTAGCAAGCTTGAATAGCATTGAGGAGCCATGAAGCTCCAAGTCAATCAGTAAAGGTATCTGCATAGAGGTAGCCTGGCCTTTGTTGCCCAAAGGCACCCTCTGTCTGGGAGATGTTAACTGGCCCTTGATTAATTGCTATCTGGAGTTCTCCTGTTTCTGAATGGTATTCATTATTTACTGTCTTGATTCTGCTGTTTTTTCTCTCACTAGTATTAAAAAACAGATACCCTCACTGATTGACTTTGCAGCTAGGACAGATTGGTGTCCATTATGGTAATCAATGCCAGTGGCATTTGGTGATTCCATTGACAGTGATGCAATATGTCTACTCCTGGTTTTGGGCTCGATCTACACTGCCAGTTAATTCAGTTTGAAGTATATTATATGGTCAGTGTGGATCCATATAATGCAGTTAGAACTGCATTGAACCGCATTATGTGAGTCTTCACTGACCATGTAATTCAGTACGAATTATATGAATCAGTACAAATTATACGAATCAGCCATGTAGACCTATATAATACAGTTTGAACTGCATTGTGTGAGTCTATACTGCCATATAATTCAGTTTGAACTGAATTATGTGGTCAGTGTAAAGCCAGCCTGAGTCTTAGCATTAAAGGTGCTGTCCAAGGTGCTGAAATCTTCAGTGCAACTAAATTAAGCACCTTGGAGAGCACAGTTACAACGCCAAATGAAATCCATAGAAAGCTATGCTCTATCATGTTAGAATTACAAGCCAACACTGATCACTCTTGAAAGATGAGTGATGGTTCCGGTGTTTGTCTATATCAAGTGACCACAAACCTAGCCCCATTTTGGGGGAAGTTACTTCTTTGGCTTCTAGCTTGGCCAACCTTTGATGAAAGACTAGGCTTCTAGCCAGATCTTTCTGTTGCCAGGCCATTGTGTTGGCTTGTTTGCATCTCCCTTGAGGATTTTGTCTTCCATTGGGGATTTTGGGTTAAGCTGACATCATTTGAACTGTATCCTAAAATACATGTCTTGGTGCCAGAGGATGGAGCGGGCTTTAGTGTGGGAAGCAGAAATCCACACAGCCCACCTTACTGTAGCAGCCAATCTTTGGAAACTCAACTGCTTTGGATTATAATGAGTCTGCCATTATGTCATGGTTCTATAGCACCCACAAGTTCTGCATGAAATTAGGAAAGGAAGGGAACATCAACCTCAGTTCCCATGACAACCATTTCAGGAATCAATATTTGATGAATTGATGATCCATCCATGTTGCCACTCATGGTCCTGACATGGGATTTGCTCCCTTAGAAATGCTCATGCTGTAAATCCAACAGGTGTAGCTTATGCATACTAGAGGTACAATGATAGGCAAAACTTGACTTGCATGATTTCCTTTGTATGTTTGCATCTTTGTAATTGCAGCTGATGAAAGTTGCCATTATTTGTAAGGCACCTCTTGATAATAATAATAATACTCTGGCACAAGCCAGTAAAGGTGGTTCCCATGGTGATTGGCACACTGGGTGCAGTGCCTAAAGACCTTGGCCTGCACTTAAACACAATCGGTGCTGACAAAATTACCATCTGCCAGCTGCAGAAAGGCCACCTTACTGGGATCTGCACGCATTATTCGCCGATACATCACACAGTCCTAGACACTTGGGAGGTGTCCGATGTGTGATCCAATACAACAGTCAGCGGAGTGATCTTGCTTGCTGTGGACTCATCTTGTTGTGATAATAATAATAATAATAATAATAATAATAATAATAATAATAATAATAATCCACTCTATGCAGTGCAGCCAGCTGTTGAAAAGTAAAACCCTTAAATAATCTTCTGATCCCCATCTGACATTAGATTCATTTTTAAGAATACATTTCAAAGGCAGTTCCTTTTCAAATCCTGAGATTTATTCAATTACCTAATCCTCGGTATTTACCGATCATAGTATCTTGACTAAATACTGAAATGGTGGGTCCCTCAACTTGGCCCGGACCACATTCCAAAGACTCACATTCCAAAGACTCCGCTGGAAGGTAAAGCAGAAATCTGGAAGTGTTGCCAACTGATCAGAGAAAGCCCTTGGCCAGCCCAATCCTTTATCTGAAAAAGCAAAATCAGCCATTGCAACTTTTCATGATATAGAGATAAGAATTATGTGAGCAGTGAATGTCTGCAGATCTTGGAAATACTGGAAGCTTCCTTTTTATAAGGCCTGACTATTTGTCCACACATACTTGTTTGCCACTCTCAAGGATCTTGAGAAGTTGGCCTTTTACATCTTTGCAAACCTGGGATAGGAATCATGAGGCTCTTCAGCAGTCAGAATGTAGTCAACACTAAGGGATGTTGGGAGTTGCAATCCAAAAACCAACTGGAAGACCACACAATTCTCACCCCTGTCCTCACTG